GAGGGGATGAGACAGGGAGTAGCCTAAGCTGGCCTCATGATCCTCCTGCCTCCTGCCTCAGCCTTTCAACTGGTAAGATTACAGGCACACCCAGCTAAGATTTTATTAAGGTACACTTCATCTGTAGTAACTTAGATACAGTTTATTCTGTATCCGTATATTGTAGATTTTTATATCCAAGATCTCTTATATCCTTTTTGCAAAGAGCAGAGTTAACTCAGGCCATAATGCATTACTGAAATCAGCATTATTTACTACACAAGCCATAACTTATGACAAGATAAGGCAGGCATTAGAATAAATGTAAGAATCACTATAATACAGCATCTCTTATCCTATCTGAAAAACTTAAAGAAACCTGGAAGTAAGTAGTCTCCCAGAAGCCAGACAATACTGGAGCATCAAAATATTGCTCTGGACTTGGTCAATGTCTGACGTCGGGCAAGTTACTTCAACACTGTCAACCTCAATCTCCACTTTTATAAAACATTAGTTAACTCAGAGAATTGATGTTATGATTAAATGTGAATACATACTTATATGCATATATGCATAACAAGAATTCAATAAACAACTTGGGTCATACAAATCAATCTTTTCATCTGCCTTTCAAAAACAGACTCGTGTATCTATGTACTGTTAAAAAATACCTGTCGTATTGCAATAAAGACCCTAGGAGCAATTAATATGTGCCATGCCAATTGTTTTATGCTTTTTTATAGGATGATTACTTCTTCTAATACTTGACTGGATTCATCTACATGAAATAATCCTCAGGAATAAATAAAGTATCTTTACACTCTGTCCATGTTAGTTTATAATATTACCACAGAATTTTTCCAGCTCTCAGAACGAGGTCCATATGTAAAATGTTCTTCCCATGATGTCTCTAGGAGAGAACCCTAGATACCCTCCTCCACTTGCCCTTCTAAATCCTTTCTGAACTGCTCACCCCACCTCTTCTCTGGCTTAAGGCCTCTAGGACTTACCTGCATTCTAGACAAAGTTCCTATGTGTGTAAAAAAACGTTAAGACCAATTAAAACTACTTAATATTACTAGTTACAAAGTTTAAAGTTACACATTTTAAAACATTCCCCAAGGAAACCAGGATTAAATTAGTACCAAAATATTCTGATTCTGCTCTGGAAAGAAATTCTACCAATGCTATTATTTTCCTATGACTCCAAGAACTGTTTCAACAGACTGAAACTTCAGTATACTATTGTACTTTCAATCTGAAGGAGACAAAGGAGTATCATTCAGTTATTTGGTTAAAACTAAATTATTTTTAGAAGTCTTATTTTTCTATTGGATTTAATAAATTATCCTAATAGCTTTTTTTTTTTTTTGAGACAGTGTCTCTCTTTGTAGCACAGGCTACAAAGAGAATTCATGATCCTCCTGCCTCTGCTTCCCAGCTGCTGGGATTACAGGTATATTTGCACAGCACAATGGGCCCACCAATTACTCTTTTTTTTTTAATTGGTAGTACTAGGATTTGAACTCAGAGCCTAACACTTGCTAGGTGGGCACACTACAACTTGAGCCACTCCATCACTCCCCCACACACCAATTACTCTTAATGACAGTATTCAACATATAGTTCAGATCCCACCTCAGCTCCCTTCCCCAACAGCGAGGAAGAAAAGACCACCTTTTTGTTTTAATGAAATACCTCCTCTGCCCTCTTCCCCTCTCTAGTCCCACTGGGTTACAATTTCCAGAAACAGTGACATGATGACCTCTGGCAGCTTGAATTAACTTGCTTTGAAAAATACTAACCATTTTTCATATTCCTTCAATTTTATCAAGCTTTCTTTCACGTTATATTTGGTCACAGTAAGCCAGCAGAACTTCATGCTCCTGATATTGAAATGTTTATGAGGAAAATGTTTGTTACATTAGTAATTTCTTATAATCCTACATTCAATATCTTTATTAAAAGACCTAAATGGGGGAGGGAGGACAGGGGGCCTACGCCATGTATTATCAAAGCACAGTTCAAGTTTTAAAATTACAAAGGATATGAAACAAAAGACATACACATTCACATTGCTGATAACAAACAGCAGCATGTGGTAATTAAGTAATCAAGCTTTTACTGAGTGTCCACTTTGTGTCAAAATACAAAAATGATCAATGTGAATACCTTCTTATTAGCCACCCAAGGGGAAAGAAAGAAACAAGCATTTACCAAGGCTCCATTTGCTTTATATACATATTTTAACGTCCCATAGCAATCTCATACAGTAGCTATGATGCTCATTTTATAAATCAGAAATTGAGGCTCAAAGCAGTTACTTGTTTAAATCCACAGTTAAGTGATAAACTACATGTCATATATAATTCTAGCACCAGCACTTAATTCCTATCCATCATTCTACACAAACACAAGCTAGGATTACCCCAGATCAAGTTTCCTATCCCTCAAGCAAATTCTAAAAGGCACATTTAAATTCTAAATCCCTCATTTACTACTCTGATATACGATGTCTTCTTCCTAACAACCCCATCAAACAAGTCCCCTGTAAGAATACTTGAAACCATGATTCAGAAAAACACTCAAGACAGCCATGTTTCTCTTTAGGGGACCCATTAGAACATGTTCTGTTCTTGCAAAGAGTAATTATCATACTTAAGGATATTCTTTTAAAAGACCACACTCAAAACTGTGCTCCAAACAGGCAACACAAAATATGTGCCTTCTATCTCTAACCATGGTATCTGTACTACAGCAAATTAAGAAATGTTCAGGCTTGACCCAAAATAAACACATATTTGGATAAACAACTGATTTTTTAAGTAAGTCTTATTTATACTGTCGTATCCAAGGAGAAAATATGAAAAAAACTCAGACTTACATTCTTAATTCTGAATTCTGTTGACAGATGAAAAGTCTAGCATTCATCCAATTTGAAAAAGACTAGCAGATTTAAATGAGTCAAGAACTAAAACAAGAGTTTAAGTCTATAAATATGACCATTTTATTTAACAGCTTTCTAGTTTAGTGAGGAATTCCTAAAATCTTTGTCTCCAAACTGAACCTGCATCTAAAATCCCAGTAACCATGGACCTGCACAAAGTGAGGAAATGTTCTAATATACACACGTTTCAGATAATACGATCACCATGCAAACCAAGAACTGCCAAAGCAGATGAGCCATTGGTCACACAACTCCAAACTTAAGTCAGGCACTTAACTGCAACCCACAGACTGTTCTGAACTATCATGGTCAGTCTAGAGTAAATGCAAATATGTAATTCTTTTAATAGACAAACAAGTGGTAAATAAAGTCTTATATATATATCACTTTGAAAAATGTGAAGTTTTTAATTTTATTTTTTGCCCATTTTCCTCTAAATTTAAGCATGTTTGCCATATTCCTTCAGGCCTCAAAGAGTAAAGGTATTCATACTAGTGCTTTCCAGGAATTCTAAAAAAACTGAATGAGCAAATATAAAACCATATATAATCAATATACGTGAGTATATGCTATCATATATTTACCATCATTATTCAGAGTGCTGACTATACTAGTACCACATTTATCAAGTAAATGCATGAATATGCTAGCCTTCTTGAAAGCAGTTTGAACATAAATAGGGAAGACATCAAGATAAGGATGTACAGTGTTGGGGGTGGTATTTCACAAGAGGACATTACATTATCATTCCTGGCTGCACTTCTCCCTTTTAAGGATACAGTACGGAATTTTGCCAACTTAGAGCTTTTATGGAAATGCTACATTGGGACTTGTTTAAAAGATTACAATTTAGTTTTTACATGGAAAACTGATGTTAAAAATTAAGAAGGGAGGTATTCTGGCAAGAAGAGGGCACAAAGACAATAATGAAACAAAAAGGGAGTTCTCAAGGATTTGGTGAATTTTCAACTAATTTTTGCAAGGCATATGGAAGGTGGAGGAAGTGAGTGCTCTTTACCAGAGACATATTAAAAACACATAAACTATATAGACTATATACTGTAATGTATATACTGTGGAGAAAAACTAGCAGTAATTTTATTGCATATTAAATAATTGAAGTTTGGAATTAGAATAAGATAAATGAGAATTACAGCTAATTGCTTTTAATAGTTCATTTAACCAACTTAGTATTTAATAACACAATTAAAATTATCTTTATATAGCTTGCTTAATCTCTCCTTATTAAGACAATATGCTTAAAGACAAAAGAAGTACTATTAGGCTTCATTTTCTCTTGCATTTTCAGTAAATACAAAAGTATCTGAATCAATATCATGCAATACAACAGAAAATTATTTCTAATCATGTTATTTTCAAAGTAAGAAGAGCTGCAAACTACTGGGTATATCCCCTATTTGACATATTACATTACATTATACAAGTACTACACTAAGGGACTTTACTTGTGTTATCTCACTTAATCCTCTTAACTGTATGGCATACAGTTAGTATCCCCATTTTAATACTCAAAAAGGTAACTCACTCACTCAAGGACCTAATTCTCTCTGACTCAATGCTACTGGACCTGGAAAACAAAACTATTTTTAATGTTCTACTTGTTAGATTTTAAGTAGCAGTCTGAATTTTAGGCTTCCAAGTAAGGATTCCCTGGGTTCCTGCACACAGGTAGAATGCCAACTGGTGTGGAACAGTATGTCTTCAGATTCAGTAAGAGTTTGTACTTTATAAGGGCTCTTGTTGATGCAAGGATGAATAATCTGCAGCTTTTTAATAAAGAAACTACATTTGACAACAGCAATTCATCAAAATTTAGCTCCACACCAGTTGGCATTCTACCTGCATTTGGAAAGTTAATGTTTTAAATCTTGTTCTTATACAACCTTAGATTACCCTCTCTCTACTTCCCTTTTGACGGAAAGAATTTCTCTAGAAGAAGCAATAAACTTACCAAATGGTAGTTATATCATGACAACAAAAAATAAGAGTAAACCTTTATTTCAAATGTATGACAGTTGGCCTTACAACTTAAATATCATTAAATCCTACTTACCAATACAGACATCAATTTTCCCTTTAATAGCAGCCTCATGCAGAGGTGTATAGTTCCAGTTATCCCTGGCATTTGGATCTGCCCCTTGGCACAGTAGCAGACTCACAACCTCAGCATGGCCAAAAGAACAGGCATTATGAAGCGGAATGAGACCTCCATCATCACGAGCATGGACATTAGCACCCATCTGCAGTAAGTGTTCTACAACATCCTTTCTTCCAAAACCTGAAGAGAACAGAAAAATGTCTATTTACTACATTAAGTTGACTTTGTAAAAAGAGCCATTAGAAATCCTTTAACAATAGCAATGAATAGGAACTCAAGTACTGTACTCTACAGTAAAAAGGGTAAAACAAAATATAAAAACATTAGCTCCATTCAAAGTCAAATTGATCTGCTCACGTCACAGAACTAGAGCTAAAAAAGCTCTTGCTCTAGTCATTGGGCAGTTGATTCAAAAGGCATTTCTTAGTTACATATGTGACTGGGCAACTGTGCTAAAATACAACACGAATGAGACAAGACTCCTACCCAAGACATTCTCTTTCCCCACAAGCTTCACAAGACTCTTCACTGTATTTGAAAAGTAAAAGGTTACTTAAATACTGCTGACAACCAAATTAAGACAAATCATAATACTCAACATTACATTAGGGAAACTGGAGAGAAATGTAAGGATAACAAAAATACATGCTTGGCAGTTTGGTTACAAGGATTCTGAAAAGGAAGAAATAAAGATGATGACAGAATATCTCCTATTGAGACTGGTGGCCAAAGTATGTGAAATAGATGATTCAGTGCAACTATTCCGCTTAGATTTCTTGAGTTTCAGAAATTAGGGGGCAGACAAGTGATGATACAGGTATTTGAAGATACAGAATCAGAACACTGGTAAGTATCACAGTTTTCAGACAAAAAAAGGAAGGTGGGGGGAAAGAGAAAGATTCTGTCTGTAACAGTGTAAGGACTAGGCAAATACTTAGAAAGGTAAAAAAATACCAAGGAAGCCAAACTGAGGAAGTCAAGGACCAACAACATTAGGCAAAGTCCAACATGATTAGGATTTAGTGAAATCAACAAAGAAAGGGAAAAATGACCATTGATAATTACAATTTTAGTACAATGATAACAATGTAAGCTACATTACAATGAGCTAATAAAAGAAACTGCACATTAGCATTTTTACCTTTATAAACTAGTACCTTTCTTAATTATTTTTCCCACTTTATATTTCATTAGGTCTTATTGGCTAGGTTTCAGTACCTAGCAGGATCTGCAGGGTCAGGTCACTCACAGCCTTTGAGACATGGTAAGGAGTTTGGATTTGAGCAAGGGTTTGTCAGGTAATCAAATTTATCTCTTAGCTAATGTATCTATAACACAGTCAACAGTAGAAATGTAAAGCCAAGTTCAGAAAGACAAGTAAGGCCTTGATTATGTAGGGTCTTTATTATATCAGGTAGGAACATACTCAGTTCCAAGTGACACCACCAACTAGGGGAGGGATTTTCTTGTCTCACACAACTTGTCTACACACAGGCAATCCAGACTCACTAAGCAGCCCAACAATAATATTAGGAGTCCATTAAGACTCTGCACTCTGGCATCCTTAGTAGATGCAAGCTTTCTTCCACTTCCTTGTATCTCTTGGTCACAAAAGACTGTTGTATCTCTCAGCCTTATATCTAGGTTCCCAGACAAGAAGGGAGAAAAAGGCTTTTTTATTATTAAGAATGCCACAACCTCTCTAGATACACCTATATTTCCTTAGCCAAAATATGACATCTGTCAACCTATTAAAACAGGTCTTTTATAGCTGAGCACAGAGCTCAAACAAATATTGTATCCATTGAAAAATTAGATGAATTTGGAAGGAATAAACAACAGTATCCACCATAGTTTTGTAAGCCATGGGTAGAAGTTTAAATTTCATTATAAATACATGGGAAATCATTTAAAAGAAAAATCACTTGACTCAATTGGAGCCTAAAAAGGATTACTGGCTAGCTATGCAAAAAATAATTTGGAATTGGGCATGGTAGTGCTGTTGGGAGAATATTTTGACAGACGAGAAACCAAGTGACACTAGGAGGGCTGGAGAACTCAGATTTTATTTACAGCAGCAGGCCCAGATGTGTCTGAGCCCTAACAAAGGATTCACAGGATATTTAAAAGGAAGTGCAGGGCATCAAGTTACAAGAATGTGCCCAGGTTATTGGGGCTAACAGTGAGTTAGAGACCTAAGGTTGTTTAGATAAGAACAGCAGGGGAGATCTGCTTTGGAAAGTTTATTTACAAGTGGAGACAAAAGAAGGTGGGAATGGGTGTTTATCTCTGCATGGTGCCCTTTATCTCCATCCTGTACTTTTGCATGGCTTTAATGGGCAATTCCTCATGCTGTACATCTCTGGCAGCTTACCAATGTTTTAAGGTCCTGTTTCAAGGCTGTCTTCCTCTTTATTTTACAGCCCTGTTTCAAGGTTATCTTCCTCTTCAGTGCAAGCCTCTAATCCTAGTACTCAGGAGGCTGGGGCAAGAGGATCAATAATTCAATTGTCTCAAAATTAGTTAATTAATTGAATTTAAATAAATAAATTGAAGAGAGTCAAGAGCAAAACCAAAATAAACTAGTTAAAAATACTGTGTAGTGTGGGCAAGAATTGATGGTGTCATAGAACAGAACAGTGGCACTATAGATGAGTCAAGGAAGAGAAACTGGGACACGGTTTTTAACGCAAGGATGGCTGGATCCCAGGAGTCTAACTTGAACAACTCAATTTGTGGAAGTACCATTTAGGGAAGGGTCAAGTCTAGCAGGCAGCTGAACTCAAAAAAAAAAAAAAAAAAAGCTCAACTTCATGAACTGTTTCTCACCAACTATTAGATTAAATAATACAAGTTTGTAAATTTCAGCACATTCTTGCCCCTAAACAACTGGTGAGAAACAATGACATTATTGCATATATTCAAAGAAAAATTAAAATGTATTATGTGGAAAGTATTGTGGTGACACAGTGAGGAAAACCTAAATTCATAACACACAACCTAACTGAATATACTTAAAACAATTTTCCTTATTCTAATGTTAAAAGAGTTGTAATTATAACCATTCAAAAACGTTTCAATATCAAATGTGTTGGTATTTTTTTCCCCAGGTCTGAGTTCAAAAATAGAAAGTTGGGTTTTTTTTCACTTATGTTCAGTATTTTAAACTTATCTAAAATTAAAGGTTCAATGAAACAACATTGGCCAATATTAAACCCACTGCAGAAATTGCCAAAAGCAAAAAGGGTAGAGAGACAAGCCAAAATCCCAGTTTAAAAACAAAAACTACTAAGATACTATTTCTTAGGGCAGGGGAAAAAAGGGTTAGATTCCATTGTGAAAAGAAAGACTGGCTTAATAGCGGAAGATAAAGAATCCTGGACAGGGGCTAAATGAGAATGAAGCTTTCACTTTGAACACTGTCACATTGTCCCTTTTGCTGTTGTGAAACATGAAAGCAGCATTTCTGGCTCAGCTCTAGCCAAAAAGTACAGGGACAGCATCAAGGTAAAATATTGGAAATTGGCTGGGGAGCAAAGTACAGGTGGGCTAACCAATTAGGTAATTAAAACGAGGGCTGGGAAAATCCTGAGCAAGAGGGCACCATTTCAGTGACTCTCTACCATGAGGCATGTTTCTACTTGCCCCAAACCACCTAAAGGAATAAAACCTAAGCCCATGGAGAACTCTACCAAAGGTATCTGAAAGGCATACATAGGAGTGAATGAGAGAAAAGACGAAAGACGATGGAAGATGGGAAAAGAGAAAGTATTGTAAAACGTAATAATGGAACTTCTCATAATTAAAGGAAGATGTAAATTTTCGGGTTAATAAGAGTTCATGAAGTGTCAAAAAGAATTGACAGACATATTATATTTACTCCTAACAATATCAAAGGTTAAGAAATCTGTAAATGCTCCAGAAAGAAAACACATCAGCTATAAAAACATAAACACAAGGTTACTGAAGTCAACCTTCTTAACTTTGAGAAAAAACATTTTAATGTTTAAGTGCATATTTGCAATGACTATAATAAAGCATGAACAAACTACCAAAAGGCATAGAAAATTCACAAAAAATACCAATTATAAAAAAGCAAAACTGAGATGACCCCTGAAATGCAAATTAAAACATGAATACTGTTTTTTATAATTAACAAGCTAATAAATGTTTTAAATGATGACATTTAGAAATATACAAAAATGTTCATTGGAGCACTATCAAAATAGCCAATACACAGAAACTGCTCATCATAGTAAAATGGGTAATTAGTAGCATATTCACAATGGAATTCTATACAATGAAAATATAAAAATATCATATAGCTGAATCTCACAAGATAGTAACAATTATATATCAAGTTCAAAAACTTATCAAGTTCAAAAACAGACAAAGTAATCTATGGCTGGTGAAGGGCTAGTGACTCAAAGGACTGTGTTCACTTTATGAAATTTTACTTATAATTTGTGCACATTTCTGTGTGTATGCTGTATTTCAAAAAAGAAACTATGCTGGTGGTATTAAGGGTATGTTAGGAATATGAGTGAGTAGAACCTTTTTAGGAAAGCAAGTTTAGTAAAAACTCTAGAATTATATGCTAAAAAACTTTCAGCAATAATACTTATTTCATTTCACATTCAGAACCCAGAGCTAGTGTAATGCAGTAATTTCAGGAACACTAAAAATAGTTTTTCCTCAGATATAAAAACCACCTTACAGGCACATAAATAGTAACAACCATCAAAATACCTTCAAATTCATAAAAATTCGAATTAACTAGGTTCGATGTGTCCCCAGGTAATGATTCTCAGCCCTATCTGCACACAGCTCTACCCCTATACGGCAACTTGATTTAATTGGTCCAGGGTTAACAATCATTGCGCTCAAAAAGTATTTGCTTCACCTGAGACTTGTTAAAGATGCAAATTACTAGGTTCCACTCCAGACCAACTGGAAGAGAAATTCTGGGGGGGTGTGGCCAGCAACCTGTGTTTCTACAAACCCTCCAGGTAATTCCCACACAAAGTTTGAGAACTATGGTTGGTCTGTTTCAGGAAGCTTAGAATCCCCCTGAAAATTACACGCAAAATTTGGTGTTTAAGCATATCTTTCGGGGGAGTATGTCCACAGTTTTCATCGAATCCTCAAATGTATGTCAACAAAATTAGGATCTAACTTGT